AATTAACGGACCCGCTATTTCTCGTTGCGCGCATAACGAGTACTTAAATGGAAGATCTCGTCCCGAGAGTGCTTTGTGGAGTAACGCAATGCAATTTTCTAGCGTCGTAAGGAAACCCAAAGTGAAATTAGGAAAGGGCAGGGTATGGGGGAATGAACCGAGTGTGTTGCGAGCCAAATACCCACCCGTCTGTAATTTTCCGAGATGCAAGAGCGCGAAAGTGTACCTTCGGGGCGTCAAAAATTATTGTTACTATAATAGAGAGTCGTTCCTGCCTTAACGAATATCGAACGACACCTAGTAGCTACGGACACGACGAACCCAATTGCATTTTGTTAAATTTAGGGGACTCTTGGGGTAAAGTGCAACGCCATTTTCCCGGAGATATCGAATATTTCAGGGTAAACACGTGTCAGAGATCACGGAAATACGACAGCACGATACTGTTATATCGTAGAATATATGTCGGTCGTGTGACACTTTTCGAAAACATTCGCTACGCTCATCTGGTCTGCAACGCGTTGCGCAGATGAACGGCAAAATCCCAAAATAACGACCGATTTCAACGGTAACAACCGGCAGCATCATTCCAATAGTCGACGAGAGACGCGGATGTGTGAGCGTGAAGCGCGTATAGAAAATTCCGGATTGAAGGTCGAATTGATCAAAGTAAACGAAATGGCAGATGGGGAAGATACAAGTAGAATGTCGCTGCGGAAAATAAAGCGTTCCCGCTTATTAAATTGTAAATTAATTTTATCTCTTTTTTTATTATTTTCGAGAGTTTAAAATGTTCGAGGAGGCGAAATTGTAATATATATCTACGTGAAACGATTGTAGAATTATAGGATAACTAAGAATTATGCAAAACGCGTTAAATCTGGTTAGATAAAATTGCGGAGAATTGGTGGAACGTAGAGTTCTCTGTACCCTTTTTAGAGCAATTGAAAAAGGGCGGTTCGCGATAATGCAAATTGTAGTTTCATGTGGTACTATACTCAACTGCAAATGTCACAATGCCGCACTGTAATTTCGTTTAACTCACTCTCACTGTTTTATATTCTCTTTCTCTCTTAAAAGTATACTATATATACATATATGTATATGTATTTAAATTAATACAATTGGCACACACACACATACACCCGCATAGATGTCAATCAATTTGTTAATGAAATTAACAAATTAATATTTCGCGCAAATTTATTAAAAACTCGTACGTTGCGCAATATGCGGCAACGATTATAATATGACTAGTACATTCGACCGCTTTGTTAATAATTCCGATACGTTTTCAGCAATCACACGGCGGGTAATCTGCATTATTCTCGACACAAAGCAATTGACTTTGCGTTTTGCAATTTTCAGCTACATAATGCACGGGAAACGGCGATGGAAATCAACGGCGACGCGAAAGTGAACCATTTTACAATAAACGTCGAGTCGAAACGACAAATTTCACAAATGATAAAAGAGAAGAGAAGGTACCGGAGTGGGGAGGGATTTAGGGGGAAAACGGAGGGTAAGTTGAAGGGGGATAAAATTATGGATGGTACGAGATGCAGAACGGAGGGGTTGTCCCGTTATCTCTCGAAATGCGCGAGCGAAGGCTGATAAGACAAAAGTGTACTAACCCATGAAGGAAGTGTAGGAAGGGGATAGGAAAATCGTTCCATCGAGTCTTAGACGCCACCATCTCCACCGACAGTCTCGCGGGATACCGATTTCCGGTGAGGGCGCATAATGAAGTTGACGATGCCATCGTGAAAACTTTCGCACGCGTCAAAACTTGGCCAACGAGTTCTAGTGAGTTCTAGTGACGCACCGCGAAATTATCTGGCTCATCGAGCTGCGCTCTTGCTGCCGATAACATCGAGTGGAGATTATATTTTCATACATCTTATACGTGTCTTGAAAATTCTTTGTACAATTAACAAAGTTCGTTCAACAAAGTTCAACTCATTATTGAAGACTAACGATAATTTTGCTGTAATTTTGTACCATCTATATTCTTTTTCAATAATCGAAAAGTTCTCCAATGCGTGTATTATGAAGTATTATTAATATAGTTAAAAATCGTGTAAAATTATAAATCTCTCTTTGTCGACAGAGAGGAAGACTAAAGAGAGAGGAAAATTATAATAAACGTTTTGTGACTGACAAAGCAAAGAATGCAAATATATATATATATATATAGTTTAAATGTAACATCCATTTATACCAGATCGATTTACAGTTGCCAAAGTTAATCGGTGAGTAATTGGTCGCTGTTTTAATCCAATCGTCAAGCGCAGAGTCAGCGCTTTATACGATTAATGAACTGAAAATTGGATATTATTTATCTATCTTGATGATCGACTAGAATTGGATAAAAATCGATTCAATTCAAAATACATCGCTTGCTCGAGTAATTATAGAAACGTCATTTATCGTATACATATAAATCCGCGCGGGCGAATATGACGTGTAAAACGATGTGAAACGTTTTAATATAAGATTACATATATATTTATATACCGTAAAATATTCAAGAGAGCCATCGATCAATATTGAAAACGCGATCTTTAAGAGAATATTCGCGAAGAAACTTGGATCGTAAAAGTTTTAAGGAATTCTCAAGACCTAAGTTACGTATAGTTTCAGAGGTTCAACTCGGCCCGGGCATTGTTTAATTTTATGCTCGTGTATATGAACATCCGGAAGGACCACGCCCTTCGAAAACTCGCTAATTTGCGAGTTGCGGCGAGTTGTAAAAACTCGACGCGAGAATCCGGTCTCGCGCGCGCATAACTAATCGTTATAAGAAAATTATGGTTTTCAGAGACAGAAATATATGTGCAGTCGCCACGTGAAAGAGAGAGAGAGAGAGAGAGAGGACGCATGCATGCATATGCTGTATACGAGGCGCATTATTATATACCTCGTAGATACGATCGGATTAATATATAGTGAACTTTGGAAACGAAAGTTCCACGTATTATCCGGTGTTAGACGTGCTTTAGATAACCGAACGGAAGAGGAAGGTAGCCGCGGCGCTTATCAAACTCGACGACAGCGCTAACTTTTCTCTCTCTCTCTCTCTCTCCTCGGTTCGATTAATCGCATACACGCTTTGAGAACACGGCGGGGATAAACAACTCGGCGACCGATATTCTATTCTTATTCCCGGGGATATTCGATATGCGCACGACAGTCCGGAAAGATGATTAAATTCTCCCCGAGTATATGGCTTATATACTCGCGCGCGCATTATTCTTAATGGGAAGAAACTTCAAAGAAATCTTTTGTTCCCCTTCAACCTTCTTTTTCTTGCACACTTATACTCTGTATACAATTACTTGGAATTACCCTTTTGCGAAAAGGAATTTAAGCGTGCGATATAATATTTTAATAACGTAATTCTGGAGATAAAATATAAAGCGAAAAAAGTACACATTGGGGCTACGATATATGAATATTCAAAATAATAAATGACAGATTGCACGTAAATTTTTTATGCAATTTTTTTGGTCTAAAATATTTAAAATTGAAACTTTGACATATTCTAATTTTCGAATATATTTTTATTATCGTGACTAGAATTTTAGATTAGTGTCGTGTCTATTGAATCACGAGAAAAAATGTACTTTAGCCGAAACTCTTGAAATTTACATCAAGTATTGACTAGAAGCAGGGCTCTCGTACGAAAATATAGCATGCAAAAAAATTGAATTAATAATAAAGCATTTATCCTTGCCGAGAGATGATCGTGGAAGAGCACGACGCTCGAATTTCTTAACGTCGAAACACAGAAGTGAATATCCAACAACAACGTGTTGTCGGGGATGCTCTACAATTCTCGCTCCCTTAAGAAGGCTTACGTGCCTCTCTCAGACGGAAGCGAGCTGCCGTAAAGTTCCGGCTCCGCGGATTATTTATTTAAAAATCCTTCTCGGCTCTTGCCGAGACTTTCTTCGCTCTATCCCTCTCTCTCTCGCGCGCGCGCTTTATTCCTTTCAATTCGCATGTACCGAATGTTGGACCCTACCAACCTCGCGTTAAAGCGACACTCGTGACGAGCGTCGTTGAGTGGAACAGACGTAGGATAAACACGATGTTCGTCGGGGTTTCGCAACGAGTACACTACTAGCGTTGTGAGACGTCGCGCCCAATTTCCCACTGTAAATTCACACAGGTTTAAATAACACGTGAAATACCGTGAATATTACTTGGATTATTTTCGCACGTGCGCGCGAGAGGGATTAATTTTTTGTCCCCCATATTATATATGGAAACAATGCAGTATTTGATTTATAAAATACATAAGCTCGGGCTTAACATTTTTATAGCGCGAGAGATATCGCTTCGAAATATTTTCTTCAATTTTTTCAATATTTCCTACGTATCCGGAAGAATCCGAGAGAGATATCGATGCGCAATATGTACTCTCCAATAAATCAAATTAAAAACTATGCAGAGACAGGCAATGTTGCATATATATATATATATATATATATATGCATATGCATATGCAAAACTTTTGTGCACCTGTCGCGGAAAATTGTTCGGAGTAACGTTTATCCTTGGAACAGAATATCCTGGAGGCATACCTGTAAGTCGCCGACGAAGCAATTTGCACCGAATGTCGGGACGAATCCTGTTTTCTCCCATCGAGAAGGAAAGGTCGCCCTTGTATCGTTACTTTGCAATCTCCGATTCGATCATGAATCGTGTACGGAAAGAATTCCCGCCAAGAGAGAAGGGGAAAAAATCTCGTATTTTTTTTCCTCACCCTCTTCGCGAGCGAGAAGGGAAGGTATACGTCGTCCTTCGACGAGGGCTTATCTCCACGTCGGTCGTCTCCTCGATAGTCTTGATATCCGTCGGGAGCAGTTCGATAAAAAAGTGTATCCGCCGAGTGGTTAGCCGATTTCTCACTCGTCCCTCTTCCTTTCGCAACGACTTCGCGTTTCGAAACCCCAGAAGATGATATCAAGACGGCCGCTCGATCTCTGTTACAGATAATCAGCTACGACTCGAACAGAGGCGGCGTTTCCGTGGTCACGGAGAAGGGTGACAGCACGACAAGTTTCCTCCTGGTGCAAGAGGCGAAGCCGTCGGACTCGGGACGGTACACTTGTAACCCCAGTAATGCTCAACCGAAATCGATCACCGTACACGTACTCAACGGTGAGTGATCGAAGATGCGAGGACGAGACTCTTCGCGAGGAAACGATCGGAGGGGACATTACATGACATTACATATCTTGAAAAAAAATACAGGGATAGACAAAATAATGTGAACACCTCTATGAAAACAAAATTTATATATTTGTTTATTAATAAGATGTTGGGCTAATTACCTTAGAAATATTTAAATATTTTAACAAAATTAAACAAATCATATATAGTAGGCCAACTGAACGGGCAAATAAATAAGGTGTAAAAATTTTTTTTATTAATAGTTAAATAATTAAATTAACATTCCGTTACAGAATCGATATAAATTGTAAACGTTTCGACTGCACTACAGTCTTTATCAATACATAAAAGTTAAATATTAAAATACAAAGTTAAATGTTAAAAATACAAAGTTAGTTAAATATTAAAATATAAAATTGAAACGAATCTTCGCTGTTGACCAATAGATATGCAAGGCGATTGGTCTGAGATGCCAAGTTATGCGACATTTGAGCATGCTACGGATATAATACGCGAATTAAATCAATGTCAGAGAGAATTAAAAAATCTTTCAACTTACATTATCGTTTTAACAAGTCCTTTTCCCCGATATTTCAAGTGTGTGTTGCGAAGTCTGAATACCAAATGTCAAAATAGAGAGCGTGATGTATTTATTTATTACCAATGTTTTTTCTAAATTATGATTCAGCAAATTTTTTAAGTATGTCAAAATAACTACTGTCTAACAATTCGGTGTCTGTATTTAAATTAATTCCATTTTTCTGTTCTTTAATGTGGATCATTTCAGATATTAGTCTTTTATGGTAGTTCTTTTCGTGATCCATAATTTTAATATTGTCCCAGTCAAATGTATGTTGTTCGTTTAGAATGTGTTCTGTGACAACCGAATGTCTAGCAGAGTCTAATTTAATATTATTTTTATGTTCTTTAAGTCTCGTTCCTAACTGTCTTTTTGTCTGTCCGACATATGTCGCGTCACAATCGTTGCAATTCAACTTATAAATAACATTAGAATTCGTGGGGCAATTATTTTTGTCCTTTTGAACTCTTATGAAGTCATTCAATTTTTTAATGCAACGATATCCTACCACTACGTCAGGTCTTCTTATTGCTGAAGCAACTTTCTCAGATATTGATTCTATATATGGTATGACAAAATATTTAATGTTAGTATTAGTATTATTGGTATCTGTTATATTGTTATTATTAGGCTTGTTAAATTTCTTAGTTGAGAGATTTTTTAATCTGCGTTTTATTTCTGTGAAAATTAGATCAAGAGATATTTAAATTTAAATATTTTCCCTGCCCAGCACAGTTACCAAAATTTAAATATTATCGAACCACTATGGGTAGTTTTAGAGAAGAGAGCGATTAAAACTCTTCTTTGTGCTGACCAGAGAAAATATTTAAATATCTTAATAGCTTAATATCATGGGACTGTAGGTAATTTGGAAAAAGAGTGAGAAGATTTCTTCCTTCAACATCTCTAAAGCAATTGGCAGATAGAAGAATGAGACAACATTCCACTGGAAAAGAGGCAAATGGTGACCCAACATCTTATTAATAAACAAATATAAATATTTTTTTCACAGGTGTTTACATTATTTTGACTACTCCCTGTATGTCCGAATGAGAAATTTCGCGGCGAATTGTATCATCGAATTTTTAATCGTCAAAATTGGATATTATTAAATCGTTGTAACTTATTTCATTAAAACAATCATTTTTTCGCACTGAAGCCTACACGGAGAGAATTTTTTATTAGAATTTACTGAAAATCATGGTAATCGCGGGACAATATATGGTATTGGAAGAATTTTATAAGAGTTTTTTTTATTAATACCGCAATAAAAAATATTAATACCTATCACAATAAGATATAAATATATCGTGATATAGATATATGAATATTTTTTATTGTGGTAAATATATTTTAATCTTATAAAATTCTCCCAATACCATATTATCGTCCCACGATTTTTCAGAATAAATTCTAAGAGAAAATTCTCTCTGTGTACTAGAATCTAAAATCAATATTTAATATGGTTTCGGGAACGAATGGCAAATTCTCTCTTTCGGAGGAGATTACGCGTACAAATTACACGGACAGGAAAATAATTAGCCAAATTGTAGTCGACGATGGTTTCACTTGACGGAAAGAAAACGGACGGACGCGGGTAAACGTCAGGTTTTCAGAAAATTTAAGTGTTGCCCTCTGTTTCAGGAGAGTATCCCGCGGCAATGCAGCACGGCGGTCAGGCCAAGCAACCGAGGCTCTACTCTCTTCTGCTCTGCCTGTGTCTACTACTTTACTAATTGCTCCATTCCATCGCGCATTTTCGAAGGAAGAAGTCAGAGAGCACTTTAGAGCGAATGAGAACGCGTGTGTATACATGTATGTATTGTGTGCATGCATGTGTGTATGTGTGTATGCGTGCAAGAGAAGAAGAGAGAGAGAGAGAGAGAGAGAGAAAGAGAGAGAGGTATTTTCGTCACACGGGTCGCGCGAAAATTGCCGAAGAGGATGCTTTTGACTGTGCTTTTGACCGGAACGACGACTCTTTCGCAACGGCGCGTAGTTTTCTCGATGACGACAATTTAACGCGTCCGAAAAGGACCCGCGAAATACATCCGCGCGGTATACGATAATAATATATACACACTCTTAAGAGAGCACAAATTCACGTTCGCGATTACGAAACACGTTAACACAACCGAGCGTCGACGTATACGCGGTTGGTTATCGTTAACGACTCGGGGGCTCGCTTGTTCGCGAGCGCGAGCTGCAATTTCGCGTTTAAAGAGAAAACGTTTATTCGACAAATATGCTGCCGTAGTTCAACGTCGGCGAAATTGGCACAAAAGGGCAGTTAAAATATAGACGAACAAGAAAGATGGGGAATACCGATGTTCTCCTGAAGAACTGTCGCGGGCGATTTTTAGTTTTCATTCGAAAATAATATTCTGAATAATCGGGAGAATCTTGAATGAAGAATCTCCTCTCGAAACAGAATCCTCGCCGCGGAATGTAACTTTCCCGATTCCCGCATTTGCATTTTCATCGAAGATCTTCGAGTTCCGAATTCGTTCAAAGAGAGAGAGACTTTCGCAACAATCGGCTTTCCTCTCTCCAAATGTAAATACCTCCTCGAAAGGAAAAAAAAGTCTTCCGAAAAGGGAGAAGGAACACGTTGCCATGGGCGTCTGCAGGATTTCTTCCAGAAATTTTTTGGCTCCTCATTATTATTCTTTCTTAATTTTTAAAATTCAATTTTATTATTTTATATACGAGTAATATTTTGATATTAAATAAAATTGCAAATAAATTCCAGTGAAAAAGAGCGAATGCTTAATTTTTGTACCGATTACCGCCTGCGGATGCCCGTGCACGTTGCACCTGCACACGGAGATGAAAGCGGAAGAGATGGTTAGGAGATGGCGATGACAACAGGAAGGCTTTCTCCGCGATTAATTCGAACAGACCTCGGACAGTGTCGGCTCACTTTCCGCTCGGACAAGGCTCGACGAGGCGGGTGCATCGAAGTGGAGAAGAACGAACGCGCGTTGCCACGCAACCGCGGCTTTGATCGCTTCGGAATCCGCGCGACACCCGGGGTGACCATCCGGGGGATGTGTATTTCGCTATATATATATATATATATTCTTCCCCGACCGCATTGCACACACAAGAGCCTTTTGTGCGATCCTCGCAATTCTCATGTTCCAATATTGACGCCGTCGCACTTCCGGCGGAACTCTCGCTCTCTCTCTCTCTCTCCATCGACGTGATCGGCGGTATTATTGCGAAAGCGATTATCAGCGCAATCGAATCGCGCGAGTCTCGCGGCAGGTTCCTCTTTTCCTTTTGTTTCTCTTCATCCTTCGCAGGGATCCTCTCGGATCTGTCGATCGATCGAATAAAGATTCTCGATCGACGAGATCGGTAAGTGGCGTTTCATTTATATATATATATATATATATATATATATATATATATTGCGTATATTTTATATTCTTTAGATTATTATATTTCGATTACAAACAATCGCGCTTCTTCGCACTTGGCGGCGAATACGCCGTCGGCGGTTTATTTAAAGCGGTGAAATTAGCTTATATGCGAAACAATAATCGGATATTGTGAAATTCAATAGTAATTAACGCTTCTGTTTCCGCCAGTTGTCATCGTCAAAAGACGCGGGGACAAAGCGAGATTCGCGCAATGTATCACGGTATTTGCATTAAATCCAATCGCGTTATCTCACCGATGCGTTTGTGAAAAGTTCGAGGAGGAAAACGGAATTTTTTTTTTACATTACAAAGAACGACACTGGAACATTTATACGGGGAAAATTGTGTAAAAAGGAATCTTTTTCGAAAAAATTTTTTAATATTAATCCAGAGCACGATATATTTCTAAAGCAATGTGCAAGTCAAATTCAGTCGTGTCATGTTCGTACGAACGAGAATTCAAGAGACATTTGACTGATATCCTCCGTCGTATAAAAAGCAAATTAAATTTCGTAAACGTACAAGAGAGACTTCTTCAGCGTCCGAGTTAACAAAAATATCTTACAAAAGCAGCACGCACCAGCGATATCGGAGGGTGAGGGATGAAAATAATAATTCTTTACACAGCGTGGAACTAAAATAAAATCCTGTTAATTCAAATATGCAAAACCTCTCGTTCTCTCTGTATAATATTCGCATTGTTTATTCTATATCCCACGACAAGATACGCGAAGTTGAGGGAGGAGAAAAAGCGTTGAATATCGTATACGAAAGAAAGGTGAGGGAAAAAATGAAATTTATCTTCCCATTCTTCTCGGGAGAAGAGGAGATTTCCGTAGAAGGGTAATGAAGAAGGATCGGCCGTGCGTGCAATTAGCAGACGCGCAAACGCAAACGCAAACGCGGCGAAGACAGCGCAACGTCGTCCTAATCGATCAAGCCTGCACGAAGAAGGCGCATATCCGGTTCAATTAGCTCTCGCAATTTGCTCTTTTCAAGCAACCATTCGTCTTGACCGAGCAGGTCGGGGAACGGTATCGGGAACTTCAAATATAATATCGAATTTTGCGCAACACCTTCTCCCTCGGCGCGATCCATAATTCTTGCTCGCGCTGTTGCTGTCTCATTCGTTTCTTACGTTTGCAACATCGTTGTTTGTCGTTTTTCAAACGGAACGCTCGAAAGACGTCTACGAGATTTTTGCTTCGTGTATATATATATATATATTTTTTTTCACTCGGCTTCTCTCTCTCTCTTCTCTCACTCTCCCTCTTTCGTTGCTAAATTATTCTTAAATATTGAGAAAAGAGATTTGCATGATTCTTCACTCTTCGCATTTACATACATCTTTATTTATGTTCGAGATTGATAAAAAGTAGAGTTTGAAAAATCGCACTAAAATCGACATATTCTATGAATTTATCCCCGCGTCTCGTTGAAATGCAAAATGTTTTAAAGATTATTTTGTCGAACGAAAATAAAATTTCACTTTTTCAAATTTATGCAACTCCTCTTTGATTCTGTCAATTTTTTTTCACGTTTCGAATTGGAGAAGAGAGTTAAAATATACCTCCCGTTTTCTCTTAATCGTGACACGCGAAAAAAAAAAAAAAAAAAGAAAGTAGCTATTATAGTCGATTCAGCGACCGGTTTGAAACACATTTAGGGACTTCTTGCCCGAGGACGGTGCATAATTCAGTACGACCGCGTTTCGTCGCTCCGTCGACGCTCTTTCTCTCTCTCTCTCGTAACGATTAATAAAACTCGGAGCTGTCGCGGACGCGAACAGCGGAATAAAAGCAGACGGAAAATATGAATAATGAATGAAAGGGAAACGCGAGAAGAAACGCGTGTTCCTCGCGCAGGCCGAAAAGCGCGAGCGCGAAGAGACAGACATCCGGCGTGAAGGAACGTGATTAAAAAAAAGCTTCCAGCTCTGTGCTACAGCTAATATAGTCGGCTCGAGCACGCGTAAGAACATGTCTCTCGTCGTTGACCGGATAATCAAGTCCCTGTCCTTCCGGGATGCCCTCTCCCGTTATTTCCCGTGGCAAAAAAAGCAACCCTCGGCCGGAGGTGGACGTTTAGTGGACCCTTCCGCGGCTGGTCGCCTCTTCATTCTTTCTCTCTCGACCGAGGAAAATCGGGCGGTTCCGGGAAAAAAGGAGAAAAAAAGGGATGAGCGTAGAAAAAGAGAGAAAGAGAAGGGAGGACCGCAAACGACCGATCTGCCTTCATTTATCAGGTTAAACGCGAGGTACACCGCATAATGTCGTCGCCGAGATTCTCCAAGCGGATGTATGGTACGCTCTCTCGCAGGCTTCCCTCACTCGTCCTGTCACGCGTACCTACCCTAATCCGCCCTACACCTCGTGCGAAGATTGGATTAACACGCGGTCGATCGCATCAGCCGATATCGGCGTTAATCCGATGTTTCGTACGACGAAAACTATATCCCAGATAGTATCCGGGGAGATAACCGACGTATTCGACGCTCACTCAAGATGCGAAATTGTACTCGAGACATAAGGGTGCCTTTTCATACGCAGCATGCTGCAGCAGCGAATCAGTCGCGCGATTAATACAATTTTTTAGAGCGTTTCTATTAATCTTTAATTTTAAATGATGCGCTGAAGAAGGTTGAAAAAGGCAACCGAAACGTTCGAACTTTTTTGTCTAATATTTTATGTTAAAAAATTTTTTTTTTCCACAAATAAATATTAATAACAGAACTTAATTAGCTCTTATTGCCTTTTATATGTATATTAATTTTTAAAGAGCTGTTACAAATTATATTATTCGAGCATCTTTCTTCTTGCTTTTATATTGTCATTATAATCTACATATTTTATTCTTTAAAAAATCTATTATTTATAACTAATATAATAATAATAATAATAATTACTGAACTTCACCAATAGCAACACACTGCTGCGGCAGTATGCTGCACATAAAATGGTACCTTAAATCAAGTAATTTTTGATGTTTATTTCCTCGCGTATATAAATTTTGACATATCTGTAGAAATTATCGTAAATTCATGAGATTAAGAGAATCCATGGTGCGTGTATATATTGAAAACGCGACGAAAGGTACGATGAAAGCCACTGTAATGGCTCCCTCGGGAGAATTAAGGACTCTCATCAGTGCTTTCCTCGAGCTTTCTGCGCGAAAGAATCGGTTTGATTTATGTACGAACGTGATTGCGTGGCATTGTAATAATTAAAGATCGCGCAGAGCGGGTTGAACTCTTTCGTTTGTACAACGCCGTATTCTTCGATACATTTTCAAAGGGAAGAGGGTGTTCGACAGAGATATAGGGAAAGGAATTCGGGAAGTTTGCGTGCAAGGCGCGCCTATCGCGTCGTTCCTTGCTATTTCCATCCACTTTTATTCTTTGCTATAATAGCATCCGACATGGGGAATG